AACTTTTAGGTAGTTTTTTCTTTCCTTTTCTTTGTTCTCCTCCCCTCTCTTTCCTTCCCTTCATTTCCTGATCATAGGATTAAATTCCGTATTCACTTTGTTTATAGTTTAAATTCCCATTTTAATTGAGATTGCTCTTCTGGTAGTGTTATAAGAATACAAACATGTAAGGTAAAATTCTCAAATTTTGTTTCATCAAATGTCTTTATTTTGGCTTGGTGCCTGTAGCTCAAACAGCTAAGGCGCCAGCCATATACACAAGAGCTGGCAGGTTCGAATCCAACCCCAGGCCTGCCAAGCAACAATGACAACTACAACCAAAAAATAGCCAGGCACCTGTAGTCCCAGCTCCTTGGGAGGCTAAGGCAAAAGAATCATGCCCCGGAGTTGGAAGTTGCTATGAGCTGTGATGCCACAGCACTCTACCCAGGGTGACACTTTGAGGCTCTGTTTCCAAAAAATACATAAATAAATAAAAGTCTTTATTTTACCCTGGTAATTAATATTTTAAAATTCTATGGGTTTACCCTTTTCAACTCATAAAATTATTTATGCAAATCTTTTGAAATTAGGTTATACTGGCAAAATAAACCTGTTTTGCTATATGAATAACTAAAATTGAAATTAAAATATTCACACAGAGCAGTACCTGTGGCTCAGTGGGCAGGGCCCCAGCCCCATATACGGAGGGTGGAGGGTTCCAACCCGGCCCTGGCCGAACTGCAACAACAAAAAATAGCCAGGCATTGTGGCGAGTGCCTGTAGTCCAGCTACTCAGGAGGCTGAGGGAAGAGAATCGCCTAAGTCCAGGAGCTGGAGTTTGCTGTAAGCTGTGATGTCACTGCACTCTACCAAGGGTGATAAAGTGAGACCCTGTCTCTAAAAAATAAATAAATAAATAAAGTATTTGTACATTTCATTTGTTTCTAATAAAAGAGCATTACCTTATTACCTTTTTTTTTTTTTTTTGTAAGAGACAGAGTCTCACTTTGTCACCCTGGGTAGAGTGCCATAATGTCACAGCTCACAGCAACCTCCAGCTCTTGGGCTTAGGGGATTCTATTGCTTCAGCCTCCCAAGTACCTGGGACTACAGGCACTCGCCACAACGCCTGGCTATTTTTTTTGTTGCAGTTTGGCTGGGGTCGGGTTCAAACTTACCATCCTTGCTTACTGAGCCACAGGTGCCGTCTACCTTATTACCTTTCTACAAAAAAATATTTGGTTGTTGTGTTTCTTCTTATAAAAGAAATACATGCTTGAAGGAGCTAAGGAAATTTTATCCAAAAATATGACTATGTAACATAAAGAATATTTTGAATTAAAGGCTATTCACAATCAATACTGGAAGGATCTGTGCCTCCATCTGCATAAAACCAGACTGACCTAATCAGGGGACCGAAGAGGGCAACTGACTTCCTTTCCTCCCTGAATGCCAGCGGACCTGGCCCAAATCATTTAAAATACAATAACTGTCTCTTAGATTAATTTACAAGTCAATCAGTTTCCCCACCTACTCATCCTCCCTAGTAACCACTTGCAGCACCCATGCTCCACCTTCTCCCCTCCCTTCAAAAAGCCATCTATAAAAGTATCTGACCATCACTGAGACATTGGGTAATCATTTCTGTGGTTCCTCCCAAGCACATAGTATTTGGAAGTAAACCTTTCTCTATTTTTTTTTTTTTTTTTTT